CGAAGTATGTTTATTTTTACTTCCAATCTCTTGACTCTCCAAAATATTTCCACATCTATCATCTCATTGGATTTTTGTAATTATCATAAGTAGATGGAGGAGTAACATTATTTCCCTCCCCATTTTATGGAGGAGGAACTAAGTCTTGAAAGTTCTAGTGACACGTGCCTGTGACATCCCACAGGCTCACGCAGGCCCAACCAGGTGTCCTGGGACTTTTGGAGCAGGCGTGGCCTCTCTAAACCCTCTCAGCACCCAGTGAGGTGGCTGGAGCTCTGTCTGCTCCCTGGCTGGACACAGGTCTGTTTTTCGAGCTGCTGGGGATGAAGCAATGAACAACTGGACAGAAGCCTCCCGCTTGGGGAGTCAGGGCTTCCCTCTGGAACCTGAGCCCCCTTCTCTTCGAGGTGGTCCTGTAGCATGAGTGAGGAGGGTGTGTGTGGTCTTAAGCCACTTAGGAGCAGGGCTGCTTATTACTGCATGTGACCGACTGTCCACAGTGGCAGCTTCATGCTAAGCTCGGTTCCCTCGTGGTCGACGACAGGGCCCCAGCAGAGCCACGGATGGGAAGGGAGCACAGGTCCAAGCCCAGGCAGACGGAGTTCTGACGCCTTGAGCCAGCTGTGAAATGAAGGACGGTAGACCGTGAAGTGTGCTGGGCGGACATCAGAGGGCCAACCAGGGTCCACGCATGTTGCGACCATCAGAGCTTGTGCTGGCTGACTCCTGTGTCCCTTTGAAGGTCTTCTCAGGGTCCCTGCCGTCCAGCTGTCTCTGGTCACATGGCAGGCCTTTGGGGGCCGTGACCTCTGAGTCAGGAGCCTCTCCCAGGGTGGTTCAGAAGTCACTGGTAAAGCCACCCCTGTGGGCGCAGCACAGAGAAGGTTCTTGTCCAATAGCCCAGACATGTGGGAGGTTCCCCCGCATCCCCTGGTCTCTGACCTCAAACAGGGCTCCTTCCCCCACAGCCTCCCGAGACTGCCCTGACGGTTGAGTGCACTCTTTGCCAACCTGAAAGCCGGGCTCTTAGGACGACGCAAGCTGTGTCCTCGGGTGGCATTAAGGGACCTGATCTCCAGGGACATGTGTGTGAGGCTCAGGACTGGATAACATTGTCAGTGAGAACAGGCAGTGACCCCAGGGTGCACCACTCTAGTTAGAGGATGAGCACACAGGTCACCTGACTTTAACCTCCGTGGGGACCGAGCTACCCGTCAGGGCAGGCCAGGGCCTGGGTGCAGCTCCTCGGCCCCTGGATCCATGCCCTTGTTGGGTACTTGGTCATGATGATGGATGAGAGGACAGAGGGATGAATGGCTTTGAACAGCATCTTCCAAAATAGCATATGTTGGAACAGGGAGAGAGGAATCCTTTCTGGGAACTAGAAATAGTGGGCAAGGAAGAAACCCAAGTTTGATTCAAAGGGCTCCAAGGCACACAGCTTTAAAAGAGCTTCCTGCTGCTCTGCGCTCTTCTGGGAGTCAATTCAAACGGGCCTGACAGCTCTCCTCCACAGCAAATGAAGGGCCCTGCTGCTCCAGGGACACGGTTCCAGGGACGCCATCCCCGGCCATTGCTGCCCGTTCCAAGTGCTCTTTCCTGTTCTCATCTGCCCTGAAGAAAGGAGATTATCAGAGCACAGAAAGTTTGTTTTGGGGATAGTTTTTATTAAACAATTGTCTCTGAACCCAAGCAACTTCTGGCTGTAAATATGTTCCTGGAAATCCACATGTAAAGAAAGTCTGAGGGAATCAAACCAAATTTTGTCCTGAGAATTGATCGTCAGTGGGGCATTTGAGGACCCGTCTCACACTGGCAGACAGGACTGCATTATTTTCCTAGCGGGTGTCAATACAATGACTCACTTACTGAAAAACAAACCAGACATTAGGATCTGAAAAAGAGAAATGCTGACCAATTCACATGAAATAAGAAATGAAGGGCTGGGGTTGTGGCTCAGCAGTCGAGCGCTCACCTAGCCTGTGTAGGGCGCTGGGTTTGATCCTCAGCACCACATAAAAATAAAATAAAGGCATTGGGTCCATCTGCAACTAAAACAAAATATTTAAAAAACCAACAAAAAAAATAAAGATGCTGATACATGATGCCTGTCATTACAGAAGGAAAAGTTCAGCAAGACCCTAACTGTGGTCATATGGAGAGGTGACGAATGGACTGGGTGATCTAGTTAAGGTTCAAGTGACAAAGACACAGAAAGGAAGGATCAATATGAAAGGAGCTGGGAGAATTTTTTAAACCTCTTAGCTCTCTAGCAGGCAAAGTGCTGGAGTTAAGAAATGGATTCCAAGTGAAGGCCAAGCCCAGGGCACTCACAGGAGAGCTGACCTTCAATGGCTCTGTTTAGACCTCAGAAAGACTAACACGATGCCTCAGAGAACTGTTTCACCCAATAACAGTGTTTCCAAGAAACTTAGGAGAGTTGTCCTATGGCCAAAAGCCAAGCAGAGAAAAATTATCTTGAAAAGATTTGTGGCTGTGTCTTCCATCTCATGGGAGGAATCTCCAGTAAGAGTTGTAGGAGATCCAGAAACTTTTAAAAAGAAATATTATTGGTGTAAATGCCATTCGTTTGGCCTGAAAGGGGCAGAGACAATAGAAGATGAAAGAGGCCTTTGGACCCCAAAATTCCATTGACAGGAAGCAGGATGGGGAAATTTTGTATGTGTGGACATGATTGCCTGTTGTGGGAAGGGAAGGATGATTCAGAAAGCAGACTAGTTCCAAGCACCCAGGCAGGAATAGGACTGAGATCTGAGAAACTCCACGGCACGCCTGGATGACTTAAAGATTGACAATATACCTCTCATTTTTTCCTGCCAATAGCAATTATCTTCTGCTCACTCCAACCGTTATTGATCGTGAGAGGGTCGGGGAACTTTCCCTTCAACTCACAAGAGCAGTGTATTGAGGAGCTGTATGTACTTCAGGAACTGTGTCCAAGCAGCCACCTCCAATAGGGACCCAACTTGAGGAAAACGTTCTCCACTCAGGCCTAATGCCGTAAGGAACGCATTGGGACTGGCTGAGGTGAGTGTATTTTGCATGTGGGAGAAATAGAAATAACTTGTAGCCAGGAGGCAGACTATGTGGGTGTTTTAAAATCTACCTACCCTCTTTCAAGATACGTGGTGCCTAATTTATCTCCCCTTGAAGACGGACTCAACTCGGTGGTTCCCTTTCACTGAATAGAACATGGCAGAATGAGTGGGTGACTTCTAAGTCTAGGTCATAAGGAATCATTGCACCGTTCCCCTTGGCCTCGCTTGCATGACTCACTCTAGAAGTATCTGCCATGGCATTAGTATACCCAAACACCTCCAGGGAACCCCACACAGTGAAGAACCGAATCCACTTGCCAGAGAACAATGTTGGCCCCTGACTATGGCCCTGAGAATAAGCCCCCTTGTACCGATATACACAGTTCAGACAAGCCTCAGATGACTCTCGCCCCAGCCTGCATCCTATGCAGTCTCTGGGAAATCTCTGAGGCCACATCACCCACTTAAGTTGCTTCTGAGTTGCTGACCCCCCAAAATGGGGCATAATAAATGTTTTCTGTTTAAAGCCAAGAAGTGTCAAGATTACCCATGTGATGTGTTGTGTGAAAAACTAATTGGGACGTTGTCCATGGGTCTTTGGTCTGAATTGGATAAAACCACATAGAGCCCTTTGGAGTCCGATGGGCCTCGTAAATCCATTTGGAACAATAGGATTGGCTGGTTGGTTTAACCTTGGGAGTTGATAGATATGAGTTTTCTCTTTGACTCACTTAGGTTTTCAGTTTCCTGGTGGGTGGATTTTAAAATTATTGTGGCTTATCTGAGCTTCTGATTTCTTTTTGAATTGATTTTGGTTTATGTATATTTTCCTGAAAATACGTATTTCATTCAAATTTTAAAATCTCTCATCATAGAATTCTTTATATCCTAACTTTGTGATTTTATTCTTTTCTTATTCATAATGATGTGCTTTTTGTTGCCAATTGTTTTTCTTAGTTAGATTTTTCAGAGGAAAATCTTATTAATTTGAATAGAAACATTGCTTGGACCCATCAGTGGTTTGAGCTTTTTTACGTATGCCAATTTCATTATTTTCTCTTTTTATCTTGATTAGTTTTGTTATCGTGGTTTCCTCAGGTTTCTCTCTCTCTCTCATTTCTTCAGTCTAACGATAAGCATATTTTTAGCTTTTTAGATTTAATAAACATATGAGAGTCTGACTTCATCTTAATAAGGCTTTGGCTTTTAGAGTTTCACTGTTATTATACAAACATTCTACAATTGCTGTCTTGGTTTCCTCTTGTCTCAAACATGTTTATAAAGTAAAATCCCTGGTTAAATTTTTATTAATGGGCACTTGTAATTTTAATATACTGAGAACATGACCTAAGCATTCTTTATTTAAAAAATTATTTTTAGTTTTTGTACCCAATCCACAGATATTTTTTAAATAAGGCATATTATCTGGAGAGTATCAAGTTTTACTTGCACGTTTATATGCTACTTTATATATTTTCTTATGTGTCTGAAAAAGCATAAACATATAAACTAGAAACACTGCCTGCCTAGTCCATGGCCACCCTGTCCCTCCTGCCTTAATATCCCTCTTCCCTGTCCTGCCTGTCTCACATGTCCAGGCATCATTCAGAGCCAAAATCACACCTTGTCTCCTCTGCAGAGCTTTCCTTGGCTCCAAATCATCTGAGTCCTCGCAGTACTCGTGCTGGCGCCCATTCCTGTGCCTGGAGTGGCCCTCCCCCTGCTGAGGCTGCCTGGGCCCCACCCTGGAGGCTAGGTCTCCCTCCTGTTTGCCTTCCCCAAGAGAGCACCATGCTCAGCACTGAGCAGCGACCAGCGAGTGTGAAACGCTGAACGCTAAGGTCACGGATTCCAGTGTCAGTGGGAGACACATTTTCTTTGTGAAATGTTTTATTAAAAAAAAAAAATACACAGATTAGCTAACTTTTCAACCAGAGCGTAAAATGGCTATTTGTTAAAATTCCAATTGTAGTAGGTCCATTATGATGAACCTTTTTCAACTTAGTCTTGTTGAAGTCATTATTCCAATCTGCAATCCAGGCTGATATTTGGAGGTGAAAAAACATTTTCTGCGTCTCCTGGATGACCTGGCCCTTTTGGATAACTGACCAGGTTAACTAACAGCGTGTGCAGAGTAGATTTAAAATCCTTAGAATGTTCAGTTTGCAAGTACTTACCAAGGCTTACCTAGTGGTATCCAATGCAGTTCCACAGAGCATATGCAAGATATTTCCCTTTTTTTTAAAGAGCAATTTTAAGTTTCACAACAAAATTGAGCAGAAGGTACTGAGTTTCTGTATAACTGTTTCAACCAAATGCAAGGCATTTTCTAAGAAAGACTACCATTTTCTTGATGGTTATATGTAGACAATTGTTACATATTGATATTCTGGGACTTAGGCTGAACTTTCTTCTCATCTTGCTACTTAGTCATTTTCAAGGATTTTGTTTTAAATTATAGAAGTTCCTTTGGGTTTATTTTCACTCACAAAGGTCCATGCTTCAAAGAGTGGAGAGTCTGTCGACATCTTGTCAACTCTGAATGCCCACTGGGTCAACTCCGCCACTGCAAGAAGCAGTCAGAGACACTATACCCAGAAAGCGTCTAATCGTTTCTTGAAAACTTGGCTTGAGAGCTATTGTTCTGCAAAAAAAGTAAGGACTAAGCCTGGATAAATGATCATATTCTAATTTATATGCCCAAGGCTCATATGTGAAATGTTGACATTTGTATGTGAAGAAAACGTTTTGACGGCCCCGTGTACAGTTGCAGGGCTCGTGGGAGGCACCGGCCTTTGCTCTCGTGGAGACCCCTGGCGAAGCTGGTGGCCCAGACGGTGCAGCACAGCAGCTTGTTGGGCACTGGGTTTTTTTTTTTTTTTTCTTGCAGCAGTTTGTAATGGATGCAGCTATGCCCTCTATGGAATGTCAGGGGTGAATTTTGGTTAAGAAAAGTACATTGATTAATCATTCTGGGGTGTTCTCACCAGTGATAAAATGTAGAGTGTTTTAAAAACTGTTTCCATAAAATAAACTTTATTTCCTCTCCTTTCTTTATGTGGCCACATGGTTTCTTTCACTTTCATAGGTCAATGGGCATGGAGAATCTCCCGGTGCTCCATTCTGTTTATTGTATTATGAAGATGACTTCTAAATGTCCTCGCATCAGGCTCCATCCACAGACACAAGCGATGGCTCTCGTGGATCTGGATAAGTGCAGCAGCCTCCTCCAGAGCTCTCCAGGGAGGGTGGGGGAGCTCCGGGCAGGAATCTGCCTCGCACCCTCTCTCCACACTCTTCACCAGAAGATGTTCCCGGAGAGGCAGAAAGAGGTTAAAATGGTTCATAAATTTGTAACAAATCTGTTGACAATAACACGATTCCTGTCAAACTGGAACAGTTAGGAGATTCTGGGGGGAAAAAATAGAAGGTACTCTTCGGTTGTTAACTGGTAGCTGAAAAATTTCTATTTTTTTTTTAATCAGGCTTGGCTTAATTTTTTCCTCCATAATTTAGGTAGCTAGAGCTTAAACTATTTAAAATAAACATTGAAGCAAAGATGGAATAACCTAATAAAAAGGTTTATTCCCTTTATATTTTGAATACCAGGTGCAAAGCTCTCTGTTAAAGCACGTTACCTTTTGGTGGCGGCTGTGGCTACACGCACCATTAAAGACTTCCCTCGTCAGAGGGACTGCGGATCCAAGTGTCCTTCCAAAGAGACTCCGCTGTGTTGTTGTGTCAGGAAGGTGAACTATTCTCTGCCTCGGTTCTCTCATCGTGGTGCTTGGCTGTTTCCCTCATGTTTATGGGTTTAAAGTCTCTGTCAATCAAAGAGGCAAGACAAACACCCAGAAACGTACCCGGGCAGGGGGCACTCACACGTATTGGGCACCTCCAAATGCCAAGGCCCTTCCTGTCCCTTGATAATCATCATCCTGCTTAACTGTCACCATAAAACTAGGGTTGGGGTTGCAGAGGTGACCTGGGAGGGCTGAGGGATTTTCTCAGGTGGCTCCAATCCTCAGTGGCAAGAATCACTCAGGTTTCTGTGTATCCTGGAAACTCTGGTGTTTGACTACTCGGTGTTCCTCCATTTTCTATGCGGCTGTGCCATCTCATGTAACACCCTCATTACCCCAGTATGCAACAGATGAGATGATCAGCTGTCCCTTACTTAAGATCCTAGTGGCTTATTTGAATCCAAACCCCAGGAGTTTGCTGGCCCAGAGAAGTAGAGGCTTCTGCAGCCAGATCCCTGCTCTGCTCAGCCTTCCAGGGGAGGCAAGAGCCTCATCCTTAACTCTGCACCACCCCTGCCCCCCGCCATATCCTACAATGTGCAGAGGGACATTCCATTGTCACTTGGCTCTGCCACTTGCCCCTCTTCCCAACCAAACCACACCTGATGCAAATGCTTGCTCACCTCTCACTGTGTCAACAAATGTTTCCTCCCTGATGGGTGTAGAATTCCTGTCCCTGAGGCCACTAACAATGAAGAAGGACGGAAGAGGCCAGACACCCAAGGAATCTTCAGGAGGCAGGTTTCTCTTTAGCTGCAGCAGTTCAGAGGGTCTTAGGCCTAAAAAAATCTCTGGACCCGGAATCTCGAAATTCTCTTAGATTTATGCTCAGTGGGGTGGTTGGTTACATGGCAGTGGGTGGGAACAGCTACCCTTTGTCCCATAGTTTTAAGCCAGATGGAGATTTTATGAATTTTCTTTTCTTTTATTTTTTTCCTGCAATCCTGGCATTAAAAAAAAAGAAGAAGAAGCTACAAACCACAACGCCCTCTGCAGAAGTTTCTGCCGATGTCCTAATGACACCCTTTGTAAAAATCTTTCTGAGAAACTTAATCGTGGCACCTGGTCTGCTTCAGTTGTTGGTTTCATCTTCACCGGCATTCCACACAGCCCTCCTGTCCCCATGAGGGACACACTCTTCTCTGTGTCTTGAGAGGGCCACACTGTCCTCATTTCCCTTCCACGCCATGGGTGGCTCATCTCCTGCACCTTTGGGGATCTTCCTATGCCTGTCCCTAATCCTGGCTGGTGGCTCTTTACCCCAGAACTCTGTCCAGAGTGTCAGGGGCACGTATTCAGTTACCCAGGGCCAGCTCCCCTTGGGGTCACCCTGGGACCTCAGAGCCACCATGCTGGTGCTGGCTGTTCTGTGCTGCCCTTCCCCTGTCCCCTCCCGATGCCTGCTCCGCATCCAGGATGCCGACTGCGCTAAGTCACCTACCTCTCGGGCCTATTCAGGAGACGGTGGGTGAGCAAGAGGGTGAAGCTGGGAGCTTAGCCCTGCTCCTCCCTGCAGGGCTGGGCCCGTCCTGTGGTGTCCCTGCTGTGTCCACTCTCTCTCTGACTCAGGTAGCAGACTCTCCCCTCACGCCAGGCATTGAGGTGCTGCTGGCCTCCCGCTCCCCAGTTTTCCAGCAGTCCCACCGTCTCTCCTGTCCCTCAATCCCAGCCACACCTTTATGGCCAGTGTCTCTGCTGCCCTCACCTCAGACACCTTGGCAGGCATGCCTCTTGCTCCCTGCTGGCCACAGGGATGACCCCCAACTACTGTCTACTCTTTCTTACCACCTGCCCTCGCCCCCCAGCCTGATTGCCCCTGTTATTCATTTCAGTGAGTGGCACATTGCTACCCAGTTAGTTGCCCCAGCCAGGAATCCAGTGTCACCCTTGACACCTCCCTTCCCTTGATCCCACCTCCATCCCTTCTAGCTCTTTCCCCACCCCGTGTCCTTCTGCACTTGGTCCTCACCGCCCCAGGCGCCCTCCTCTGTCCCCCAATCTCCCAGCGGAACCCTGATGGCTGCCCCCTCTTCTCCTACCTCCACCCCTGCAGCCAGGACACTTCTGCCAACCCCCCCAGGAGGGGCCCCACCGCTTGCCCCTCCAGCTCCCACCGCCCTGCAGCCTCCTCTCTCGGGTGCCACTCTAGTTGTGCAGAAACTGCTGCAAGGGCCCATGCTTCTTCTCACTCCCGCTGACTCAGCATTTCCCCTTCTCCTCCTGTTGCTCCCACCTGAGCTGATTGACCGACTCTGCCGATGAGATGTGGGCTGAGGACGGTGCTCCATGTGGATAGTTCTGTAACCGTCACAAAGCCTCTCGGAGGCAGGTGGCACCTATCATAGCTCGTTTGCTCCCCAAGGGATGAAGTGGCAAACAGTTGCTGAATGTATCGTTTTAGGCGTGGTGGGCCACATCACCTCTATTCCATCTTCTCCCTGCTGCCAACCCAGCCTAAAGCCACCGTAGGCCACAGGTGAGCGTGTGTGTGCCAGTGAAACCACTCGCCAGAGCGGGCAGTGGGCGGGCGGCCTGAGGGCTGCTGTTGGCTGAGCTCTGCTCTGGACAGACTGCGAGGCTCGGGAGGCCAGGTGCTGTCTGCATGGGCCACCTGAGTCACAGCACAGGGACCAGCCCTCAGAGCTGCCTCCACGCTGTTTTTCCTCCCCCTGCCCCCCAGGGTGGGTGGGTCTGAGGAAGAAGCGAGGCGTTGGCCACGGCTGAGCATGCCCACTTCCTGGCATAGTGTGTCACCACCCGCCACCCCCTTTGCCAAGTGGCTCTCATGGGAAGCCCCCCGGCCCTTCCTCTGCCCTCTGGGGTCCCAGCTCCTGCAGGCCCTTCTCAGGCAGCTCTCCCGTGGATCCCACCCCATGGTGGTGAGACCCTCCTCACCCTCCCTGCCCCCCTTACAGCTTCCCCACATGGCAATGTCCCCTCAGATGCCAACGACTCCAAAGGGACACAGAGTCCTACACAATCATGGGATGCTAGGACCTAGACCCAGTCCCAGCCCACGTGCAGACCAGTCACTCCAGAGGTCCCGGCCTGGGCTCCAACAGGACCCGTGTCTTGGCCAGGCCGCCCCCTCCTCCGCAGGGTGCTGGGCAAACAGAGGGCTGCCCCCCTTTTCCTGAGAATGCTTCTTAGTTCCATTGATTTTCAAAACAACTCTAAATGCAGAGTCACAGTACGGGCTGGGAGTGACGCAAAAACACGGCTCTAGGAGCACTCACTCAATCCTGGGTTCCGAGCAGATAGTTTAGGGAGGAAGGGCGGACGGGGTTGTCTAAATGCAAGGTCACACTTTCCCCGGGGTTGTGTTGAAAGCCTTACGTGCCTGAAATAGGGCAACTGGCTTCGACTTCAGAAACGCTCAGCGCGGCACCCCCTTCCCGTTGGCCGGGGCGACGGCAATGGCAGGGCTTCTCGGAGCTCCTATTGCCACCAGACCCCACGGTGCTGCTGCTGCCCCTGATGTTCTTGGCGACCGCTGGGCCTGGGCTACAGCTCGTGGGATGCGTGGTTTTCCAACACACAGGTTGGCCGGAGCTCAAGAAGCCCTGGCCTGGCTGTGGACCCGAGTGGGCTCTGTGGTGAGTGGCAAGACACTGCCTGGGCTCAGAGGTCATGGTCAGCGGGGCAGCAGCCTGCTGGGGAGTCTGCTCTGTGCTCTCTCCCTCAGAGCAGCTGCCCAGGGCCTCACCCACCCCTGGCTTCTGTGGCTGGCCTGGAGGCACTCAGCTTCTGGGATGGGCCACTGGCTGACCACATGTCCCTTGGGTCAGTGCTACATGGTACCCACAGCACTGGCTCAGGTCCTGCCCCTCCTGACATGAAATCCTTGTGCAAAGATGGCCTCCGTGTTCCGAGGCGAAGTGACACAGTCACTGAAGGGCCTCCATGCTCAAGATCGCGCTTCACAGTCTCAGCTTGCCGCCACCATTTTCTCAAATTGCCTCCGTGGTTGTTCAGATATGCCCGAAATTGATGCTTAACCGATTTTGTCCAGTCGATCACCTATGATTGGATGGAAAGGGGAAGGGGCCCTTCCTGGTGGAGACCCTTCCTGCAGGAGCCCAACTGGATGCAGAATCCAGCCGCACTCAGAGCGGCTCACACCTCCATGTCACTAAGAGCTTCGGGATTCTTCCTTCCTAAGGGCTCTATTCTTTTTCTCGAAATCCATTAACTGATTTTCCGCTTATTTCCTGTACTGATATTTCTGTACTTGGTGTGTGCCTCTGGACAATTGAGCTGCCAGTTCCATTTTCCTGGGGTGCAACTTCAGAACCAGAATTATTGGATCACTCGCTTGGAAACTCCCAGCAAGCCTCTGCCTTGCTGTCCGTCACGTCCCTGGGACAGGCCTTCAAGACTCAGTTCTGCCAGACTTGCTCTGCAGCCCGCCTCTCCTGGGCAGCCACCTGCCGGGACTGCTTGTTCCCTGAGCATCCCTCTGTCTCACGGTCCCCAGCCTGGACTTGGCTCTGCCTGCTCAGAGAGCCCTTTCTGCTGTCCCTGCTGTCCCAGCACCTCCCTCTTCTGTCCTCCTGTTTCCTGACTCCCTGTGGACACGCTTCTGCTCTTTGGGTCCCTTTGGGGAATCGAGCAGGGAATGGAGAGACCTGGGGACATGGTCCCTTTCTGCATGACCAGCAAGTGTCCCCTGGCTGCTGTGGTGAGGTTCCCTTACATGAGAAGAGTCGGGTTGGGACAGCTGTTGTGTGACAGTCCGTCTGGGCCATGGTGCTGTGGCTGGATGCAGCACTTCTTTCATGGTGGTTGTTTTTTTGAGAACAGACGTAATTTTATGGTTATAAAAGTGACATAAATTCATTGCTAAGGAAGCTGGAAGGATCCGGGGCTTTTAGAGAGGACATTCTCCTTAAATGATACCTCTACAGATCATTACTGTGGAGTTCCTAGTTTATCTTTGAGCCTTCATTTTCATAAAAACTCTCATTTCATTTTTTTTTTTTTGGTACAGAAAATGGACTTATGCTAGAGATCTTTACTCCACTTAAATATATCTTTTTGGATTAAATATGACACGGTTGCCTTGTCTCCTTGAGCGCTTTTGGAGTTCTACTGGCTGTCCAGAATCCCCTTTAGCAAGGAGACGCTCATGGCCTGGCTGCTGGAGACCTGCCCGCTGCTGGCTCTCAGCTCAACACGGCCAGGCACCAGCTTGCTGAGCCGGCCTCCTGCCCGGGCTCACCCACTTCCATGGCTGACCTCCGTGGGGGTCCGAAAGCCCTGCCTCTGCCCCTGTGTTCCCCGGGTCGGCCCTCCAGGCTCCGCAGTGCTCTGAGGCCTCTTGCAGCACTGTCTGCTCAGTCCTGCATTCTCCACTCCCCCGTGCGCACCCCAGCACAGCCCCTGGCACAGACGTCCACCTCTTGGCAGACTGCCTGTCCCCAGAACTGCTTTATAGTATTCCACTGCGTGGATGCACCGACATCTCGTTCAAAAGTGTCCTCCATAAGTACTTGCAGGTTTTGTCCAAATTTTCATAAATGAAATATATATATATTTTTTTGTATTAAATATCAGCCCCTTTGCCCAGCCTTCTGATGACTCCCTGGACCAGCACAGCAGGGCGCACCTACCGAGCCTCAGATGCTTTCAGGAGTTCTGTGGAGTCAGGATTCATTTTCTGATAGTGCTTGGATCTCTGTCCTCGTGGCCTCTGTGGACACGGTACTTACAGCGCGACAGTGGCCATCAGGCAGCCTCGGCTCCGCAGGGACCCAGCAGCGGCTCACGCTGCACTGTGGGTGCTCATGTGTTCTCAGTGACGGAGCCCGCCAGCTCAGTTGATGCCTTTGATGAAGGAGCAAAGCCCTTGTCCCCACGCCTTTGCAACACTGTGTGGGGACATGGGAGGCATGCACAGAGCCTCCCTGCTGCCCCCTGCGACCTCAACCGACTCAAAGAGGAGAGCTGGGTGCCACTGCATCTGCTCTGAGCTGAGTGAGCTTCCTCCTGGGAACACTGCCGTTTCTTCAAGGAATGACTGACAGACATCCCACGCCACTCAGACTTGGGTA